GCTATGTGACCAAGATATGTTTAAGAAATGCTCTTTGTTTTATGCACAGTGCTTTGTTAACCAATCAGATACTTTCTTGTGTCAGTTGAACTCTGGATAACCATATAAATGTATTCTGACCCTAACAATAAGCATTGATCATACTTTTATGAAGATTCGATCTTTGACTCCGGAGGCTCCTGTCCTTTTTCCCCCTACCCCTACTCTCTTTTTCACAATAATCCCAATTATAATTTTATTATTATATATATAATTTTAAATAATTTTTATATTTATACAATTATTTTATATATATATATATATATTAATTTTTGTAACTAAAATGTACCTAATCATATAACTACCTTAATTATACAACTCGACCAGCCTGAGCCTTTGGGGAGCAGGTCTAAATCGTTGGGGACACGGGAAGCCATTGGCCGTTTAGCCAGGTGGCAACTAATTCAGCCAATCAGGATTTACCATGCAGACTTGCAAAACTATATAAGGAGCACAGCACTCAATAAAAGCTGGCTGTTGCTGCATGAACACTGAGTGTCGTGCTGTTGCTTCTGTCTCAACTGCAATGCCCATCCATGGCCATGATTACATCCATGGCCATGTCCCCAGTGTCCATGTCTCCTGATGACCCCACCCATGTCATTGTTCCCCACATGTCCCCATCCATGCCTTAGTTCAATGCCTTTATTTCTACTCCAGTTTCAGGGCTTTCAAAGGGATGAACAGAAACTTTTAGTTTCAAGGCCAAAACGAAAGGATTTATATGTACCTGCCAGCAGAGCATCCACATAGTTGGGTGGGTGGGAAGAACCTTCTTAGGATGGATTTCTACCCCACTGTCTCCAAAATCATGGGTTTTTCCCAAATCTGTCCCCATTTGGCTGTGGAAGATGCCCATGGGCCAGGGAGAATTAAAACAATGGACTTATGTTGGAGAAGACCTCCAAGGCCATCCAGTATTGTTTGCTGCCACTAGAAGATGCAAAAAGTGAGATTTTTTTCTGGGCTCAGATGATAAATTTGCTCTCCAGAACAGATTTCTGATGTTGGGCTGTGGATGTGTCCAGGTGCCCACAGGGAGCCAGGAGGAGGTGGGGCCCCCAGGCAGGTGTCTTCCCAACAGGGATCACCACAGCACCATGGATTGCCGAGGCTCTGCCCACTGTGGGTCACTGGGAATCATCCAGCGAGGATCCTCCCATGGGGGATGGAGCTGGAGCAGTGCATGAAGCTCTTCCCACACCTGGGGCATTTGCAGGGCTTCACCTAGTGACGTCTCTGTTAGTGTCTCATCAAGTTAGAGCTCTGTGAGAAACTCTTCCCACACTGGGGACACTCTTAGGGCCTCTCCCTGGTGTGGATGTGCTGGTGGGTGACGAAGTCAGAGTTTTTCCTGAAGCCCTTCCCATAGTGGAAGGGCCTCTCATCTGTGTGAATCCACTCATGTAGGAGGAGATGGGAGCTGATCTGAAACCTCTTCCTGCATTTATCACACTCGCAGGGCCTCTCCCCAGTGTGGCTCCTCTGGTGGACAATCAGGTGGGAGCTCTTGCTGAAGCTCTTCTCACATTCCCCACACTCATAGGGCTGTTCCTCTGGGTGGATTCCCATGTGTCAGATCAGGTCGGAGCTCATCCTGAAGCTCTTCCCACACTCCCTACATTCACTGACCAGTCCCCTGTGTGGCTCCTCAGGCGGACAATCACGTCAGAGCTTGTCCTGAAGCTCTTCCTACACTCACTACACTCGTAGGGCCGTTCCCCTGTGTGGATTCTCCAGTGGCAGATCAGGGAGGTTCTCTTGCTGAAGTTCTTCCCACATTTCGAGCACTTGTGGGGCTTCTCCCCATCCTGAAGCTGCTCATGGATTCCCAGCTCCAAGCTCCGGCCACCTCCCCGGCCCAGGGTGGGTCTTTCCTCCTCTGATCCCCGTGATCTGCGTTTGCAGCCTCTCCTCGTGTGGGATCTCCAGGGCTTTTCCTCCCCATTGGATTTCTGCACCATGGAGCTGCTGAAAACGGCCTCTTCCACAAGATTCCGCTGCAGGGATTTGTCCTCCCTGGTCTCAGCTCCTTGTCTGGGGGAGGAAGGAAACGGAGAGGATGGAAACGGAGAGGATGGGATTTGCCTCCATGCCACAGGAAAGGGCAAGGAGATCTCCCCCAGTGCGTCCCCAGCAGAACTGCATTGGCAGTGGGGCTGTCCTGCAGCCGGGGGTTGTGCTGTGCTGGGAGATGGAGCAGGAGAGAGTGGGAAAGGGGCAGTGACTTCCTCCTCACCTGCCTTGTGCCCTGGAGCCTCTTCCTTGCGCTCTCCTCTTCCTCCATCCGGCCAAGGTGTGGGAATGGGAAATCCTGATTTGGAGGAAAACAAGGGCTGAACATGTTTGGTCTGATGGTGCTGCTACCCAAGTGCAGCTGGAGAAGTCAACGCCTCTTTCAGCCTCAGGGTCCGGAGCCCTCTCATCCTCAGCCTCCCCCACCCTTCCAGGCTACCGAGGGTCCCCTGGCTCCAGGATCGCCCCTCGGAGCTCTCCCCACTCTGGGGCTCTTGCGGGGATCCCCAGTCCCTACATCGCCCTCTGCCTGCCGGTACCTGGCGACCGCTACGTGGGACCCCGCCAAGATTCCTCCAGGAGCATTTCCGACCCAGCTTTGGGGTCCTTCAATAGCCAAACACCCCCTGCCCCCCCAACCCCCACGCCCCCCGGATGGATTTGGGGCGGGCTCCCTGTCCCCGCTCACCTGCGGGTTCCGGGGGGGCGATGCCCCCGAAACGGGGGTGGGGAGTGGGGCTGCGGCCTGAGCGGGCGGGAGCCGCGTGGTGCTGCTGCTGTCAGCGCTCTTCCTCCCGCTCCTCCTCCCTCTTCTCCCGGGCCGGCCCGAGCTGGTGCCGGCACCCAAACACGGCCGTGCTTTTGCCCGAGTGGGTTTCAGAGCAGCCCTGAAGGCCATTCAGACCACTGGGAGTGATATTGGGAGCACTGGGAACAACAGGGAGAGTACCGGGAGAGCTCCGGAGAGCACCGGGAAAGAATTGGGAGCGCTTTCCCTCCCAGCTCCCCCAGTAAGAGCGATACTGGGAGGGAACTGGGAGCAAACAGCGCCCGGACGGGGCTGCAGCCGGCGGTGGGCGGGGCCAGGCAGAAGGGCGTGGTTATGCAAATACAGGACCGATCCCGCGCTGGGATTGGTGGATGGCAGCAGCGCGGGGTTTCCCCGGTCACGACGGGGCCGGAGCGATGGCGGCGGCGTCCGGTGAGAGGGGACAGGGAGCGGGAATGGGAATATGGGAACAGGACAGGGAATACGGAAACAGCAGCCACAGAGAGAATACGGGATGGGGATTCGTGCTGCAGAGTGCCCAGGCGAAACCCAGCAGGGGCTGTGAGCTCTGCAGCTGGGCCTCCCCTGGGCTGCTGCGGCCCAGGGCCCGGAGCCGGGAGCTGCAGCCTTGCTCCTGCCTCAGGAACAGGAGCCTCCTCCAGGCCCATGGCCCCTCCGTGGCCCCAGCATGAGGGAGGGCTCTGAGCCACAGCGGCTGCTGGCAGGAGGGGCTGCTCCGGCCAGCTGGGGGCCTCTGAGAAATGCCCAAAGCCTTGTGCTCTCTGCAGCTGGCCAAGGACAGCAGCAGGGCTGAACGGTTCGTGTGGCACAGCCAGCGTGGTTATGCAAATACAGGAGCGATCGCGCGCTGGGATTGGTGGGCGGCAGCAGCGCGGGCTTTCGTTGGTCCCGTGAGGGCCGGAGGGGCCGGAGCGATGGCGGCGGCGCCCGGTGAGAGGGGGACAGGGAGCGGTAATGGGGACAGGGAATGGAGACAGGGCGTGGGAATGGGGACAGGGAATGGGGAGAGGGAGCGGGAATGGGACCGGAGATGGAGACAGGGTCCGCACATGGAGACAAGGACCGGGAATGGGAATATGGGAGCGGGACAGGGAATACGGAAACAGCAGCCACAGAGAGATTACGGGATGGGGATTCGTGCTGCAGAGTGCCCAGGCGAAACCCAGCAGGGGCTGTGAGCTCTGCAGCTGGGCCTCCCCTGGGCTGCTGCGGCCCAGGGCCCGGAGCCGGGAGCTGCAGCCTTGCTCCTGCCTCAGGAACAGGAGCCTCCTCCAGGCCCATGGCCCCTCCGTGGCCCCAGCATGAGGGAGGGCTCTGAGCCACAGCGGCTGCTGGCAGGAGGGGCTGCTCCGGCCAGCTGGGGGCCTCTGAGAAATGCCCAAAGCCTTGTGCTCTCTGCAGCTGCCCAAGGACAGCAGCAGGGCTGAACGGTTCGTGTGGCACAGCCAGCCCCAGCTGGGGAGCCCTCAGGGCCCCATGCCAGAGGCGACCCTCGGGAATGGGACAGGGAATGGGACCAGAAATAGGGGATAGGACCAGGAATGGGGACAGGGACCAGAATTGGGGACAGGGAATGGGAACAGGGACTGCAAATGGGATCAGGAATACAGAACAGGACCATGAATGGGACTGGGAAGAGGGACAGGGACAGGGAATGGGAATAGGAACTGGGAAGGCAGGACAGGGACCGGGAAAGGGGACAGGACTGGGAATGGGGACAGGGACGAGGAATGGGAAGGTGGGACAGGGCCTGGGAATCTGGACAGGCAGCAGGAATGGGACTGGGAATATGGGACAGAGACTGGCAATGGCATCCAAACTCAGATGGGAGCAGGATAGGACCAGGATAGGGGAGACATGAGACCAGGCAAGGGGAAGGGGAGTGACAGTGGGGAGTGGGGCAACTGCTAGAGAGGACACTAGGAGTTGGGATGGGGGGACATGGGCATAGATCCAGGGCAGGGAATCCTTGATCAGGTGCCCCAGAAGCTCTGCCAGGATCTCCCTACTTGGCCTAGGGTGCCCAAAGCCCTGAGCAACCCCCAAATCCCTCCCAGGAACCCTCAACTCCCTTGAACATGGCATCCCCCACATCCCCTAAAAGATCCCTCATGACACTGCCCATGGCTATGCCCACACCATGTCCTCATCCATGTTTCAGTTCAACATCTTTATTTTTACCCCGGTTTTGAGTGTTTTGAAGGGACAAAGAGAAATGAAAATAAAATTCAGGCCATAGGGAGCCAGGAAGATGTGGAGCCCCCATGCAGGTGTCTGTCTTCCCAACAGGGATCGCCAGCACCACAGATCATCGTGGCTCTTCCCACCAGGGGTCACTGGGGATCATCCAGAGCAGATCCTCCCGTGGAGGATGGAGCTGGAGCAGTGCACGAACATCTTCCTGCAGTCGGGATACTGGTCTGGCTTCCCTTAGTGGTGGCTCCGTTGGTGTTTGGTCAAGTGAGAGCTCTGTGAGAAACTCTTCCCACACTGGGGACACTCGTAGGGCCTCTCCCCAGTGTGGATGCGCCGGTGCGTGATGAGGTTGCTGTTGTACCTGAAGCCCTTCCCGCAGTCGGGGCAGACAAAGGGCCGCTCCTCTGTGTGGATGCGCCGGTGTGTGGTGAGGTTGCAGTTGTACCTGAAGCCCTGCCCGCAGTCGGGGCATACAAAGGGCCGCTCCTCTGTGTGGATGCGCTGGTGCTGGAGGAGATGGGAGCTGCCCTGAAACCTCTTCCTGCATTCGTTGCACTCATATGGCTGTTCCCCGGTGTGGCTCCTCTGGTGAACAATCAGATCAGAGCTTGTCCTGAAGCTCTTGCCACACTCAGGACACTCACAGGGCTTCTCCCCGGTGTGGATGAGCCGGTGGGTGGCAAGGCGGCAGTTGTACTTGAAGCCCTTCCCACAGTCAGGGCAGCGGAAGGGCCTCTCATCTGTGTGAATGCGCTGATGTGTGAGGAGGTTTGAGCTGGTCTGAAACCTCTTCATGCATTGATCACATTCATAGGGCCTCTCCCCGGTGTGGATCATCTGGTGGCGGATAAGTTTGGATCTGGTGCTGAAGCTTCTCCCACACTCCCCACATTCATAGGGCCGTTCCCCTGTGTGGCATCTCTGGTGGACAATCAGGTAGGAGCTCTGAGTGAAGCACTTCCCACAATGCCCACACTCGTAGGGCCGTTCCCCCATGTGGATTCTCCAGTGGCAGATCAGGGAGGATCGCTTGCTGAAGCTCTTCCCACATTCCTCACACCTGTAGGGCTTCTCCCCATTGTGAAGCTGCTCATGGATCCCCAGCTCCAAGCTCCGGCCGCCATCCTGGCCCAGGGTGGGCCTTTCCTCCTCTAACCTCCCTGGGCTGCGTTTGCAGCCTCTCCTTGTGCGGGATCTCCGGGGATTTTCCTCCCCATTGCATTCCTGTGCTGTGGAACTGCTCAAAACAGCTTCTCCCATGAGGTTCTGCTCATCTGCGGAATGAGCCTCTTCACCGAGGTTCTGCAGTGACTCATCCTCCCTGGTATCTGCCCTCAGCTCCTTCCCTGGGGAGGAAGGACAAGGAGAGGATGGCATTTGCCTCCATGCCACGGGGAAGAACAAGGAGATCCCCCAGTGTGTGCCCAGCAGGACAGGGTCAGCAGCAGGGTTGTGCTGCTGCTGGGGGCCATGCTGGGCTGGGAGATGGAGCAGGAGAGAGGGAAAGGGGCAGTGACTTTCTCCTCACCTGCATGGGGCTCCTGGGCCATCCTCCTCTTCCTCCCAGCCTCCTCTTCCTCCATCCGGCCTAGGAATGGGAAATCCTGCTCTGTGGGGGCAAAACAAGGGTTGATTGCGGTGGCAGAAAGCGGCTGATGGCAGTGGTGGCCTTTGTCCCCAAGCATGGGGTGACACTGTTTTGGTGTGAAACACGGTGGTGTCACCAGGGTGGGACAGGGCCTGACCATGGAGGACTTTGCTCCCAAGAATGGGGTGACACCATTTTAGGACAAAACACACCATTGTCACCATGATAGAACCGGTCATGACAGAGGTGGTGGCCTTTGTCACCAAGCTGATCCTGTTCAGGCTCATCAACCAGCTGGTGGTGGCCTTCAAGGAGGACAACACAGTGGCCTTCAAGCACCTGTTCCTCAAGGGCTACGAGGACGGCACTAATGACACCCAGGCCATCTACACCCATGGGGACCACCTGGAGCACTGACCTTTGTCTTTGGGAAGGTGGCATGGGGACACTGGGAAGGGTTGGGGACATCAGGGGAGTTGGGGACATTGTGGGGCTTGAGGACAAGGGGACCTCCTGGAGCATGTGGCCTATGCCCTTGAGAAGGTGGCACAGGGACACCAGGCAGGGTTGGGGTCACTGGCAGGGGTTGGGGACACAGTGGTGCTTTGGGGACATGGAGGTTCTCAGGGCTGTGGAGATGACTGGGGACACCAGGGTGATCTGGGGACACTGAGGTACCACAGGGCCACCTCCAGCCCCGTGTCCCTGTCCCCACAGTATTTGGCTGTCTCCAACAAGACCCTTGGCCACCATGTTTTGGGAACACAGAGATGTATTGGGGACATGGAAATATTTGAGTAAACGGGGATTATGTGGGACTATCAAGGTGCCACCACCAGCACTGCTGTCCCTGTCCCCACAGTACCTGGCTGTCCCCAATGAGACCTTTGGCCACCACACCTATGGCTGAGGACATGGAGATGTTTTGGCACTATGGGGTGGTTTGGGGCCATCAAGGTGCCCCAGGGCCACCTCCAGCCCCGTGTCCCTGTCCCTGTAGTACCTGGCTGTTCCCAGTGGGACGCTGGGCCACTGGTTCTATGAATACAGACATGAACATGGTTTGGGGACCCAGAGACGTTTGGGGTCATGTAGATCTTTTGGGGGCATGGGGTGGATTGGGGACACTGAGGTGCCCCAGTGCCACCCCCAGCTGTGTCCCTGTCCCTGTAGTACCTGGCTTTCCACAATGGGACCCATGGTGGCACCAGGGGTGGCACCAGGCTCCAGCTGTGCCAGCACTTCTTCCACAGGGTGGACATCAAGCCCAGCAACGACACCTTCAACATCGACCCCAGCGTCGTCACTGGGGGTTGGGGTGCAGGGTTTGGGGATGGGGATTTGGGGTGCAGGGTGCTGGGTTTGAGATTTGAGGTTTGGGTTTGGGGTTTGGCATTTGAGGTATAGGTTTGGGGTTTCGGAATTGGGGTTTGGGATGGTCCCACGGGTTTGGGGTTTACGATTTGACACTTGGGGTTTGGGATGGTCTTAGGGTGTTTGGGGGTTTGAGAGTCAGGCATTCGGATGGTCTCAGGGGATTTGGAATGGTCCCAGGTGATTTGATATTTGGGGTTTGGGAGGGTCTCAGGGGATTTGGGAGTTGGGATGGTCTCAGAGGATTTGGGATGCTCTCAGGGCATTAGGGGTGGTCCAAGAGGTTTGGGAGCTGGGATTTGGGGTTAGGGTTTGGATTTGAGGTGCAGGGTTTGGCATAGTCCCTGGGCATTTGGGGATTGGGATTTGGGATGTTGCCTGGCATTTGGCAGCTGGGATTTGGGGTTTGGATGTGGGAGCTGGGAGTTGGGATTTGGGATGGTCCTGAAGCATTCAGAATGGTCCCGGGGCATTTGGGATTCAGGATTTGGGAAGTCTCAGGGGCTTTGGGCTCCTGGCATTCCCTGACCCCAATCCCAACCCCACAGAGATCCTGGGAGTACACCCTGGGGCCCCCCAGCTGCAGGTGCTGGATGGCACTAATGGCAACTTCACCCTCCAATTCCACATGTAAATCCCAAAACCCCCCAAAATTCCTGATAATCCCACTTATGGGTGTTTCCCATCCCTAAAATCCCAGTGTGGGATTTGTGTTCACTTTTCCCAGATTTCTGCGTGGCATTTTGGGGTGGAATTTTCCCTTTCCCATGGTTATTTTTTTGGAAATTTTGTGGCCAAGTTTTCCCTTTTCCATTTGTTTTTTGAGGATTTTGGTGCAGAAGTTTTCCTTTTCTAGGTTTTTTGGGGGAGTTTGGGAACTCCTGGGGTTTTTTTGGGGGGAGATTTTTTTAAATTATTATTATTGCATTCCCACTTTTTGGGGGGGATTTTGGTGTGAAATTTGAATTTCTGGGGGATTTTAGCATGGAATTTTTCCTTTTTCTGGTGGTTTTTTTGGGACTTTGAGAACTCATGGGATTTTTTTGGGATTTTGGAGCAGATTTGTTCCCTTTCCTGTTGTTCTTTTGGGGAGAAATTTTCCTATTTCTTTGGTTTATTTTGGGATTTTGAGGTGGAATTTTTTTCCTTTTTTGGGGCAATTTCAGGGATATGGGGTGTTTTTTTTTTATTTTGGGGCCTCCTTGGTTGTTTTTTGTCCCCTCAGGCTGATCAGTGTCACTGTGGAGTTCCAGCTCATGGCCATGAACATCCAAACACTGCTGAACCATGAAATCCCTGACTGATACACCTTCAGTGTAACCGTGAGTGTCCCTAAGTGTCCCCGAGTGTCTGCAAATATCCTAAAGTCCCTAATAAATATCCTATCCCTCTCATGTCCCCCTTGTGTCCGTCTTGAGTGTCCCTCTGTGCCTTGGCTGTCCCCCGATCCCTCTGCAGGCCCTGGGGGGCAGCCAGCGAGTGCTGTGACAATAACAGTGACAGTGCCAGTAACAGTGACAGTGATGGTGACAGTGCCAGTGACAATGCCAATGTCAGTGCCACCCAGTGTCCCCAGGTCACATTTGACACCCACACCCACAGTGGGCGAGTGCGGATACACCTGGACATCCTCGCGGGTGCCACCACCCCTTGCTGCCCAGCAGAGGTGACACTGGGTGACAGGAGGACAGGGTGCCAGGAGAACACAGGACAGGGGGACAAGTGCCCCACCACCCCCATGCCCCAGGTGCAGGTGGGGCCGGAGGCATTTCTGTCGTGCCCTGACCGTGCTTCCCCTCCGCTCCCTGCTCCCCCCACACCTTGGGGACACTCCTGACTCCCACCCTGGGTGCCCCTCAGTGGGGAGGGGTTGATGCCACCGTAGGAAAACCCTCTCTGTGCCATCCACGAGGTGGCACCTGCGCTTTTTGTCACCACCACCCACCAGCACCCCAAACGCCCCGAAACAGAGTGGGGGGGGGGCACATATCCTGCGGCGCTGAGGGGGGGATGGTGTGACTAAATTTTTGGGGTCACCCCCTGCCACTTCCACCTCCCCAAATCCCCCCAAGGATGCTGCACAACCCCGCATCCCACCCACTACCTCGGCGGCAGCATCCCCTGAAGGGATGGAAGGGTCACGTTCCTGCTGAAGAGTCTTTGGGGACTGTCCCCGTGTCCCCCTCCCATCCCTGCAGTACCTACACTGCTGTGCTCATGCTTGGCCCTGTTTCATGGCTTCCCCATGACCAGGCAGGAGTTTCAGTCACACCCTCACCTTGTTCTCCTCCTCTGGGTTTGATGTCACTTCTCCCGCTGGGGATGTGCCTGTGACACCAGGGGGACACTGCAGGTCACCCCTGCGCATGACTGCAGGGTCACAGTGGCTCCTGAAGGCCCCCTCATGTGACAGCTGGGGGTCCCAGGATGCTGCGATGATGATTTGAGGGGTGGGTGTGTCCAGGGTGGTGAGCACAGAGTCCATGTGGTGCAGGGGGGACAGTTGGCGACAAAGGTGGGGGAAAGCCTGGGGGGACAGGGGGAGGAGGGTCAGAGGGGTAAGGGGTGGAGACGGGGTTGGAGGGGCAGGATCAACCCAACAATGTGCCAGGCATATCCTTTCCTGTGCTGGAGCGGGCCCACATGCTCTGTGGCAGGAGCAGCCATGGGAACAACCTGAGCAACACAGCGACACCTTGAGGGACACAGGGACACCCTGCAGGACATCACCAGGGACCAGCCAGGATCAGGAACAGGGACACATAGGGGATATGGGGACAGGGACTCACAGCGGGGACAGGAAGACACAGAGGGGTGACATGTAGCCATGGCAGGGGATGGGGATATTTGGAGAGGAGGGGATATGATGCCACCAGGACACACATCAGGGGACAATGTTGCCACACCTGTGCAGACACTGTCACCAGGATGCCTCTGGTGACAGGACCACATGACCCCCATGGGTGACACTGACTCTTGTCCCCAGGGGCAGTTGGAGTCTCCTGAGCATGGTGGCCCTGGGACACCCTGGTGGCTGTCACTTGCTTCTGGGCCACTTGTCACCAGCTGAACAAGTTCCCCGTCCCGCCCTGCTGGGTGGTGACATTTGGCTGACACTGCACTGGTGAAACGTCCCTATTCATATCCATGTATCCGTACGTCCCCATTGATGTTCATATTCCCACATGTTCTTCCCATCCATGTCATTGTCCCCCAAAAGTCCCCATCCATATCCATTTTTACCCCAGTTTCAGGAGTTTCAAAAGGATGAACAGAAACCTTTTCATTTCAAGGCCAAAACAAAATGATTTATGTGTCCCTGACAGCAGAGCATCCATGTGCTTGGGTGGGTGGGAAAAACCTTTTTGGAGGGGTTTCCACCCTACTGTATCCAAAATCAGAGGTTTTTCCCAAATTCATCCCTGTTTGGCTGTAGAAGATGCCTGTGGGTCAGGGAGAAATAAAAGGATGGATTTATGTTGGAGAAGACCTACAAGGCCATCCAGTGTTGTTTGATGCCACCAGAAGCAGCAAAAGGAGATTCTTCTGGGGTCAGAAGTCGACAAATCCGCTCTCCACAATGAATTTCTGATGTTGGTCTGTGGATGTGTCCAGGTGCCCATGGGCAGCCAGGAGGATGTGGAGAGCCCAGGCAGGTGTCTTCCCAACATGGATCACTGGCACCATGGATTACCGAGGCTCTGCCCACTGGGGTCACTGAGGATCAGAACCAATCCTCCCATGGGGGATGGACCTGGAGCAGCACACGAAGCTTGTCCCACACTTGGGGCACTCATAGGGCTTTCATAGTGGTGCCTCCATTCGTGTTGGGTCAAGGCTGACCTCTGACTGAAGCTCTTCCCACAGTGGGGACACTTGTAGGGCTTCTCCCCTGTGTGGATGCGCTGGTGAGTGACAAGGGTGGAGTTGTGCTTGAAGCCCTTCCCGCAGTCAGGGCAGCGGAAGGGCCTCTCATCCGTGTGAATCCGCTGATGTACGAGGAGATCTGAGCTGCTTTGAAACCTCTTCCCACACTCCCCACACTCGTAGGGCCGCTCCCCGGTGTGGCTCCTCTGGTGGATCATCAGGTGATCATTCCGGCTGTAGCTCTTCCCACACTCGGGACACTCGTAAGGCCGTTCCCCAGTGTGGATCCTCTGGTGAAGCATCAGTTCAGAGCTCTGGCTGAATTTCTTCCCACAATGCCCACACTCGTAGGGCTTCTCACCAGTGTGGGTCCTCTTGTGGACAATCAGGTTCGACTTCTGGGTGAATCTCTTCCCACACTCCCCACACTCGTAGGGCCTCTCCCCGGTGTGGATGCGCCGGTGCTTGACGAGGTCAGAGTTATATTTGAAGCCCTTCATGCAGTCAGGGCAGCGGAAGGGCCTCTCCTCAGTGTGAATGCGCTGGTGGACGAGGAGATGGCAGCTTGTTTGAAACCTCTTCCCACATTTGGGACACTCATAGGGCCTCTCATCTGTGTGTGTCCGCTGATGCTTCAGAAGAGTGGAGTTTCTCTGAAAGCTCTTCCCACATTCCCCACACTCATATGGCCGTTCCCCTGTGTGGCTCCTCTGGTGGTTGATCAGATCAAAGGTGTCTCTGCAGCTCTTCCCACACTCCCCACACTCATAACGCCTTTCACCAGTGTGGATCCTTTGGTGGCGGATCAGGGCTGAGTTTCGGCTGAAGCTCTTCCCACATTCCTCACACCTGTAGGGCTTCTCCCCATTGTGAAGCTGCTCATGGATCCCCAGCTCCAAGCTCCGGCCGCCATCCTGGCCCAGGGTGGGCCTTTCCTCCTCTAACCTCCCTGGGCTGCGTTTGCAGCCTCTCCTTGTGCGGGATCTCCGGGGATTTTCCTCCCCATTGCATTCCTGTGCTGTGGAACTGCTCAAAACAGCTTCTCCCATGAGGTTCTGCTCATCTGCGGAATGAGCCTCTTCACCGAGGTTCTGCAGTGACTCATCCTCCCTGGTATCTGCCCTCAGCTCCTTCCCTGGGGAGGAAGGACAAGGAGAGGATGGCATTTGCCTCCATGCCACGGGGAAGAACAAGGAGATCCCCCAGTGTGTGCCCAGCAGGACAGGGTCAGCAGCAGGGTTGTGCTGCTGCTGGGGGAAGGAACTGGGAGCGCTTTCCCTGCCGGGGCCGCTCTTACTGGGAGCACTGGGAGGGAACTGGGAGCAAACAGCGCCCGGACGGGGCTGTGGCCGGCGGTGGGCGGGGCCAAACAGAAGGGCGTGATTATGCAAATCCGGGAGCGATCGCTCGCTGGGATTGGCGGACGGCAGCCGCGAGCGGTTTGCTCGGTGACGTCACCGCCGGGGGATGGGTTGGAGCGATGGCGGCGGTGTCCGGCGAGAGGGGACAGGGAGCGGGAATGTGACCGGGAATGGGGACACGGACCAGGAGTGGGACAGGAAATACGGGACCGAGACCTGGAATGGGACTAGAAATACGGGAGAGGGACCGGGAACGGGAGTGGGAATGGGAATGGGCCGGGGATGGGAACCGGGCAAGAGGGACACGGGGAAAAGGAGCACCGGGAACCGGGCTTGGGCGTGGGGGTGGCACCGGGGCGAGGGGGGACCGGGGACAGGAGCGACACTGGGGCGAGTGGACAGCGGGGACCGGGCCGGGGGAGTTAAATGCTGCAGGGGATGCTGTGCACCTGCACTGTGGGCAGAGGGGACACCAGAACGGGGTGGGGGGGACACGGGACAGGGGTGACACCGAGGACAGGGAGTCCTGACCGGGGGCTTAACGGCCACAGGGGACACTGTGGACTGGGCAGCAGGGACACCGGAAGAGAGGAATGACACCAGACCAAGGGGGACACGGACAGGAGGGTGACACCGAGCAGGGTGGACACCGGGACAGGGGTGATCCTGGGACATGGGGGTGACACCGAACAGCGGGGACACAGACCAGGGGGTGACACCGAGCAAGGGGAGCACCAGACCGAGGTGACACCGGTGGGTGTGCGCAGAGACCGAGTGGCTGCTGAGTCGTGGCACAGCACGGCCGAGGCAGCTTCGGTGCCGGTAGTGGAGGAGGAGCTGTGGTGCTGGCTCAGGTAATTCCTCTTGAGCCTCTGTGACAAGTACCGGGCCCGCGGCAGGCAGCCCGTGAAACTGGCGCTGGAGCTCGCCAAGATCATCCTTGTCACCGTGCAGGTGACACCACAGGGACAGCGAGCTGGGACAGTGGGGATGGCTGGTAGGGACACTGGGGATGGCAGCATGAGGGGCTGGGATACCAGGGAGGGAGCACGGGGACATGGGGACACTTTGACAGGGACACTGGGGTGTCCTGGGACAAAGCATTGGCAGTATGACCGTGGTGAGAAAGGGGCTGATTTGGGATGCTCTCAGGGCATTAGGGGTGGTCCAAGAGGTTTGGGAGCTGGGATTTGGGGTTAGGGTTTGGATTTGAGGTGCAGGGTTTGGCATGGTCCCTGGACATTTGGGGATTGGGATTTGGGTTGGTCCCTGGCATTTGGCAGCTGGGATTCGGGATTTGGATCTGGGAGTTGGGATTTGGGATGGTCCTGAAGCATTCAGAATGGTCCCGGGGCATTTGGGATTCAGGATTTGGGAAGTCTCAGGGGCTTTGGGCTCCTGGCATTCCCTGACCCCAATCCCAACCCCACAGAGATCCTGGGAGTACACCCTGGGGCCCCCCAGCTGCAGGTGCTGGATGGCACTAATGGCAACTTCACCCTCCAGAGCTTGCGGGCTGGAGCTTGCTGTTGAGGGGGTCACTCCTCAGGCCTTCCTGAGCTAGAGAAACCTTTGAGGCGAGGTGAAGAAAGGAGTCGTCCTGATGGAGAGTTTTCAATCCAGAGTTTTATTTTGGTGGCACGGCTTCTGAATCCTGCAACAACTCCACTAAACTTCTCCCAACAGAACTCTCCACCAGAACCCCGACAGCATGGTCTGCTTGTTCTTTTACCTGGGGAGAGGGGCAGGGGAGGGGACCCAGGGACCACCAGCCAGGCACAGGGGAGGTGGTCTCAGGTGAGAGGGACACCTGGGTGGGCCAATGGCCCCCCAGGGGGGGGAGAGCATCCTTTGAACCTGCCAGTCATTGGACGATGCTCTCCTTGGAATTTCTGGGTTGACAGACAATGCCCAGCAGGGGTTAAGGGTGGGGAAAAGGAGATGTGACTGACACCCCACCTGGGGAAGAAAATTTCAGGGAGAAATCAGGGGAAACTGAGGCAAGTCATGACATCACACTGCAACAGTTGTTGACCAGTTTTCCTGATTATATATGGTCCAATTTCAAAAATTCTTGGGCAGAGCATGACCGGTGATTGGGCTGGAGTGGTGATAGTAGAAAACTGGGTCATAGCAGTTATTACAAATTTGAAAGAAAGGCCTTCAGTATTTTTGGACCAAAGACAAACTACTTCTGCGTTTATGTTAATGTAAAACTGTGCCAACAGTCTTGTACTCTTGGGTGTGTACAAACCTGTTCATGCTTATTTGCCTGATCTGTTGAAACACTGATTGAGATTGCCTTACTATAGGTAGTTCCGTTAATCATTAGCATCCTATGCTAATTTCTTCTCCCACTACCCCTTGAAACTTCCAGGTTTTTTGTTTTTCCCATTCCTGCCTAGTGTTGATTTCAATATCTGATTTTCATGCATAACACAGTCGATAGGTTTAAACCCTTTACATTTCCCATGGATCCAGTAAAGTGAACAAAAGCCTGGGACTAAGGCCATTCGGTAACATACTGCCTAAGGGGGCTCTCAGTCCCTTCTACCAATTGGAGTATAACTATTGTACTTAATCTGGGCTTCGTAGTCTCAGTCCCTTCTACCCACTGGGATGTAACTACTGTACTCAATGTGAGCTTTGTGCTCTCAGTCCCTTCTACCCACTGGGATGTAACTACGGTACTCAGTGTGGGTTTTGTTATAGCGGTTATCTTAAATCTATAAACTAAGCCTTTTAAACCTAACAGGTCAGTCAAGTTATTTTGCCAGTGGCATGTCACATAAGTTGGTTTAGCTAAAGTGAAATTATGCCAGCAATCAATTGGTTCATTTTTACAGTCCTTTGTAATTGCAACATTGTTAGTTTTGGGACCTAGAGTGTAATTACCAACATACTCCAGGTTGTCCAGGGTGATGTGCTGGATTTTTGGAATCGTCACATACTGCCTAAGGGGGCTCTCAGTCCCTTCTACCAATTGGAGTATAACTATTGTACTTAATCTGGGCTTCGTAGTCTCAGTCCCTTCTACCCACTGGGATGTAACTACTGTACTCAATGTGAGCTTTGTGCTCTCAGTCCCTTCTACCCACTGGGATGTAACTACGGTACTCAGTGTGGGTTTTGTTATAGCGGTTATCTTAAATCTATAAACTAAGCCTTTTAAACCTAACAGGTCAGTCAAGTTATTTTGCCAGTGGCATGTCACATAAGTTGGTTTAGCTAAAGTGAAATTATGCCAGCAATCAATTGGTTCATTTTTACAGTCCTTTGTAATTGCAACATTGTTAGTTTTGGGACCTAGAGTGTAATTACCAACATACTCCAGGTTGTCCAGGGTGATGTGCTGGATTTTTTGAATTGTCAGGTCCCCGTAGTGAGGGAATGATGCTTGGAGGTGTCAGGCAAAAGGCAGTGATTTTGGGACATCCATTCACCCCCCACCTACTGTTCACTCCTTTAACAGCTTCCCATAACCGAACATCCCAATTTCCCTCCTGTGGCTTCAGAAGTCATTTCAAAATACCATTGGTCCTTTCTACAATCCCATTAGCTTGAGGGTAGTAAGGGGAGTGGAAAGTCCGCTTAATTCCTTCACCTTTTGCCCAGTCCTGTACACCTCTAGCAGTGAAGTGGGACCCGTTGTCAGATTGAATTTCCTGTGGCTTTGGGAAAGTTCCAAACCACCCGTGCCAAGCTTTAGCCATATTATCACCTGTAGCTCTTTTAAAAGCATCAGCTTGAACCAACCCAGATACAATCGCTGCTCCTACTAGCACAAAGTGTTTACCTCCTGACTTCTTAAAGGGGCTGATATAATCTACTTGCCACGCATTCCATAAGCCTTTATGCTTTTTTAAATGCAGAGGGTCATCTTCTAAAGGATGTCTCTCTCCAGTCGCCTGCAACGCTGCTCACAGGCTGATATGCATGTTTTTTTATCCTTTTGGGGCCTGTGATAGCTGTGATTAATATATCTCCAGATTTATTTTTAGTGAGCATTCTCAAATAACCCAGCCTCTGCCCCTTCGCCCACCTGTAAGTGGCAGAGATATTAGTTTCCTGAAAACCTTGTTGGTTTTGGTTCACTGTCTGTGCTCTGAAGGAGAGGCTGGGGGACTGTTGTGCTATTTAGATTCTGAGAGAGGAGCTGCAAGAGGGTTAATTTTGGCTCACTGCCAGTGTTCTGAGAGGGAGACTGGGGGAGGGTTCCGCTGCCTAGATTTTGAGAGAGAAGGTGGGATGAGGTTAATTTTGGCTCCTTGCCTATGTTTTGTTAGAGAGGCTGGGGGGGGATTAGAGTGTTGGAGGAGGTGTGTGTTGGTTCCTGAGAAGGGAGGAGTGCACTGGGTTGAGCCAATGGATTCGGTTTTCCATAGTGCCAATTGTTTATTATTTTCTGCAATTTATCGAGGGGCAAACCATCCATCACCTCTTTGAGGACCCCCTTTTTAATTCCCGACAACTACCAACAGTGGTGGTTAGAGATCTGTTTTCCCTTCTCTACATTTTCCGTGTGAGAAGTCCCAATAAACGGAACACATTTTGGTTTTTTCTGATTTCTCCTCCGGGGTTTTTACAGGTCCATATTGTCTACAATAATTAATCCGATCTACTGCAACTTCACCTCATGTCCAAACTTTACGGCTACTGGCAGATGAATCAGATTGAGAAGCTGCGGGCTGTGAGGGGGAAGAGTATGGAGTGAAGCCAGGATCAGTAGATCCAGTTTGGTCAGTGGAGTTACTGAGGAATCTAAAATGTCCCCACTGCGGGGGGACCCGCATCCCCCTGCCGGGGCTCTGCTGCCACCCACAGCGGGACCCCCCAAAAACACCTCTCAGGGACCCCTGAT